GAGAACGGTCCGGAGGAGGAAGAAGCGGTGTAGGAGGCGGGAAACGGCCCGTTGAGGGGAAAAGAAGCGGTGCTAAAAAGGAAAAACGCTCTCTCGTGGGGCAAAAATAACGTGAGGGAAGGGAACGCCTGTGAGGGGACGGGACCGGGGAGGACGGCCCGTGGTGAGGAATAAACTGTCAGTGGGGTAAAGGAACGGCAGAAAACGGGTCCTGTCCGTTGGAGGGGAAAAAAAGGGTCTGTGGAGGGAGAAACTAAAAAGGGCTCGTGGGAAAAGAAAAAACGCCCACCTGTGTGTGTGTGTGGGGGGGGAAACAGTCCATGAGAATAAAGGATAAAGTCCGTGAGGATGGGGATAAAATGTGCTTAGGTGGAAAAATGGTCTGTAGAGGGTGAAATGGTCGGGGGGGGGGGGAGAAAGAAAGAAAAAAAATGCTTGTGGGAAAGGAAAAACAGCCTGCCTGTGGGGGTGGAAAATAAAGCAGCCTGTGCAAGGAGGGGAGAGGCTCGCAGGGGAAAATGGCTCAGGGTGGCGAGGGGAAGAAAAAATGGCCTGTGGGAAAAGAAATAAATGGTCTGTTGGGAAAAAGAATGACCAGGGAATGGGGAGATGTCTTGTAAAGAAAAAAAAAAAAAAAGAAGAAAGAAAAAGTCCAGGGAAAAGAGAAAACACTAATGGGGAGAAAGAATGCCCGTGGGACTGGAAAACGGCCCATAGGGGAAAAAAGGGGAAGAAAAGGGAACAAAGTGCCCTGATGGACGGGGTTTGTACCTGCTACTGCCATATCCCAGCTCTCTGGAGCACCCCTTTCCCCAGGGGGGGAAAAAAAAAAAAAAAAGGATGCGGAAAATGCTCAGCTGGGCCCCCCTCATGGGATGCGTTTGGTCTCTGGACACGATGGTTGCGTTTAAGTAAAAGATTTTTCCAAGCAAGGTTTTTTTTTTTTTTTTTTTAACTTTCTTCCTTTCTTGAAAGTTGCAGTCATTACCTGCATGGAGATGAACTGACCAGAAGTGTCTTTAAATCTGAAGTTGTGTCCCCTTGCAAAATGGGACTTTTCCTTCTCCAGTTTCTTTCTAGCGCTGAGCAAACCTTCTCCATGCAGCACTCTGGCTGAGAGGAGGAGAGTTCAAGTCATTTCCAGAAAACAAGGGAGCAAAATCCAGAGGGGACAGCAGGATGGTAAAACCTGTCCTGACTTCCATGAAATGGGTTGAGCAGAGCCTGGATGAGCTGGGCTGCTCCCGACAGCAGAGCCCAGAGCACGACCAGCCCCTGGCTGCTGGATTTGAATTCCCGCTGCGCTCAAGGAGGTTTCCAAGCTCGAGGTGCCTGGAAACGCGGTTCAGGAGCCTCCGTTTATGCAGCAATTAATGAGCAGATACGGATCTGCRTGCCGGCAGCGTGGCGTGGTGGCTGCTCTTGCACAGCTCCGGTTGTTCGCTGCGGGATACGGGCTGCCCATGGCTGCGGGCCGAGCGGAAAGGATACAGCTCCTGATGTAACTGTGTTGTGAGGTAGTAACGCAGCTAAACTAAGTGGACAAGAACATGGAAAGGAGYGTGCTGCGCTTATTTTCCTTACCTTAAGGAGCTTATGCAAAACCAATAGCAAATCTAAAAGTCATTTAGTTCTCAGTGGAAAACATTTCTTTTGAGAGGAAGGGAAGGRTGTATAGCTGTTGCTTTAGTATATGGCTTTTATTTTGTCTAGTTTAATGTCTRTGTAGCTGAGTAGCTACATTCTCCTTTTTATTTTGTCCCAAAGTCTTACTGTCTTTAAAAGCCTTCTGGATTTTATGCTGAACTGGATTAGTTGTAGCAGCAGATTAGGAATCTGGTGATTTCATTATCTAGGTCTGTACGGATTTATGAATGGAGCCTGGTTAACCCTGCCGTTCCTGTGCTGTCCTCAGAGCACACCCGCCTGTGCTCATGCACTTACACATGCTGCATGCCAGCCAATTCCAACCAACACAGGGAAAAGGTGGGGAAAAAAAAGAGTATTTCCTTGGAACAGTCTTAGACTCTGTATAAAAGCTTTTCTGTACAGGAATTTTCCAAGAGGAATCAAAAATCAGTGCTGTGAGGAGTGTGTGTTTGGGGCTCTTGACAGCACGTGAGCATAAGAAAGTGTCTGGGAACTGCACACCACCCAAGAGATCCCCTGTGTGTCAGCCTAAAACTGCTGCTTTCTGTAGTAGAGCGGGAGGTGTTTGTGGTTATAGATATGCGGATATCTGCGGTCACGGATCTGCCTGTTGTAGTGAGGTCTATCTGTAGGAAACGTTTTATTTTTCCTCCCTTCCTTSCTGAGATAATCACATCATTGCACAACTGAATCCAGCTTCATTTTAGCTCTTAAAAGATTATATAGCTGGCTCAGAATTAATCCAGAAATGTAAATATGAAGCACTGCGTGCAATTACATTTCCCTACAGYCTGGGCGATTTGTGGGTTTCTTTTTTGTTTTTCATCACTGTCCCCGAGGAAGAAATTGCAGTTGATGGAGCCTTTCTTGGCCTGCTCTGATAGCAATAGCAATCTTGGAGATAAGGTTTAAAAGGGGATTAATTCCAAAGTCAATTTGTTAGGATSGCCTGGCCGTGCAGCCAGTTGGTAACATGCATGGGGACGTAGGTTTGGCTGGGTAAGACACATGGCCAGGGTGCAATGTCCTTAGAAACAAGGYGGTTTTGAGGGAGGTACCTGCACCCCGAGTTGGTGCCCTTGGAATACGCACCCGAAGCAGCGGTGGCTGCCGAGGCTGTGACAGGCCAGCGTGCGTCTGGGAACCCCGCGGTTCGAGTGGCCACTGCAGATCTACCCGTTTTGACCTTGTTTTGGCCAGATGTGGGGCCTAAAGGCCTGATGATAGGATGACAGCCCTCTCATGAGGCTTTTCCCCCAGCACTTTGCAGGGATGCTGTGCAGAGGACATACTGCTCATTTTCCAGATGCTGCAGCGAGGTATGGATTCCTCCAAGGCCTCTCTCTTCCATGTGCTGGGAATGGAACTGATTCACATTCTTGACTCTCTCAAAGATGAGCTGTGGCAGAGTAGATTTAAGAGCACATTACGCCCTGATCACCAGTAATGTGAAGGAGAGGTCCAGTGAGGAGCAAAGCGTCCCGTGTGTAAGTGGGCTGGCGTTCATGCCACGCCACGCAGCTGTTCCCTGTGGAGCTGCTGTAGCTGCTGCAGATGAATCCCCAGTGCCTGTGAGCAGCAGCAAGAAACTGTGGATCAGTTCACTTCATGGGTGTTTGTTTGCAGAACGTAGGCGTTGAAAAATCAGCCGTGGGCACCAGCTTGGACTCCCTCAGTGTGGGGACAGTTTCCCTACGGACCAGTGGGAGCCTGCAGGGATTAGCAGGGACCTGGACATCTCCCTTTTCCCCTGCTTCATGTCATGAGCGCTCTAATACATCACAGCAACGGGCAAGAGTCAGGTTCTGCAGGGAGCTTAACTTGCACGTAACCCCTTAGTGAGCTTGAGCAGGACGTGTTGGCAGAGGTGGCAACTTCTATTAGATCTGTCTTGAGAAATGCAATGCTATCATCTGGTCTAACGAGGAAGAAAAAATTTGTTTTAAATGAATGTTGGCTGGGAGGAGTTTGCTCGTTTTTGTCCTGCCAACTTTGTGCCTTTCCTTAGTGTTGGACCACCAGGATTACAACAGAAGTTGCTGTGTTAACCTCATTGAAAGCTGTTTCTCAGCGCAGGGCTAATTCCAACCTTGGCACTCAAACCTCTTACTCTGATCATGAGAAAACTGCCGTGTTTTCTAAGATCCTGTGTTAGGCTGGTGCTATAACATCAGTTTTCAGGTAATCTTCAAAGTACTCCAGAAGAGCAAGAAACAGTATTCAACAGCTTCAGCACGTGTTGTAATATGTGGGGCTGTTTATAAACACAGAGTCCTTTTGTTGTTGTTGTGGTTCCTGGTTAGTGRTTCTGGGTGTTTTTTAGCAGATGTTGTGCCCAGATACCGTGGCTGCCCCGAATTGGGTGAGAGGAGGCCTGAGCTTTGTTGCTGTAGTTTCCTTTTCCTGCTGTATCTTTTCGCAGTGAGTGCACTTGGGTGAGTTTGAACCTGGGGATCCTTGCTGTGGGACAGGCTCCTTTTCTCTAAGAATGATTTTGGATTAGACAAAAATGAATCTCCGAAAAGTATGAACCCCAAGCTGGAACATAAACCACGATGAAAGGTTCATTCCTCTGTCTCTTCTCCATGAAAAGGAGGAACATGTGCTCTGAGGGAATGTTCGGAATAATGGGAAATAAGCAGCATCTGCAAACACACCGAAGTGTTATCAGTCATATGCCAGATGCAAGTCTCAAAACCCTCCTGTAAAGGTATCTTATTTGCTCTCTGACACTTTACTGAATTGAATCCTGACTCATCTACCCAAACAGTGGCTTTGATTGAAGATGGAACATTAATGACTTGGTGCTGATTTTGAGCTGTGTAATTGAGCCTGTATTTGAATTGCACAATAATGTTATCATTGATATAGTGTAGGGTGTTTGATTACAGAACCAAGTACCTGTAGCACTGCTGCAAAAATCTCAACTCCATTAGATTTATTCTGAACATCTAATATTAAGTGCTATTCTTCATCTTCAAAGTAATAGAGAGTGGKGCACTGGCACTGAAAACTGATGTTTCTTCTGGAGTAAATACAAACACAAAGCATCCTAGCTTACTGTCTAGCGCTTGGCGTTTATTTTTCATGATGGGATTTCACGCACTGTTCTGTGGAATTAACCTTTCAGAAACTGGCTGTTGCCAAAGCAAGAGATCATCCACCCAACTCCCATCAGTAAAAATTGCCATGTTATCTACATGCCGACTGTGTTTTAGAAAGCTGTATAGCTGATCAAGTAAAGCACCCCCAAAGTGGTTTTGGAAGAAGATATCCCAACTCATTTTGACCCRACAGTCAAAATGAACATCAGGTTAGTGGGAACCATGTTGACATCCCAGAGACAGTAGCCTCAAGGCCCTCATCAGGTTGAGGAGATGCTAGAGCTTCCCATGAGATTCAAACAACAAAGATTTCCCTTCAGGCAGGGACTACTCCTCTCCTYAGAGGTGAATTTGGACTCACTCCAAGCCCAAACAGTTTCAGATAGTGAGGTCCCAGTGATTCATGGACAAACTCCACTCAGAGTGCCGTTGTACTGAAGGARGAGTGTGGGAGTTGATGGAAAAAAGAAGTGAAGTTGATACCAGCCCTGTGTGACTGGTCTGTCCTCAGGGACTGTTACAGTTTGCTGCTTGTCCATTCAAATGGACAGTCTTGGGCAGAGAAACGTCTGCCGTTGTTATTAAGGCTGAAGTGCAGGCTAGGGATGAATAGCAGTTCACCAGGTCATGAACTTGRTGAAGAACTCACATGATTATGGGAAAGACTTGGCAGGATGCAGAGAAATTTCAGAGTGCTGGGTAGGTCATGCTTTTGTAGCAGAGGAGAGATGTGGGCTGAGCTACAAGGAAACAGCACATTGAATGAGAGAAAAAAAGCTCTGTGCAGGAGCTAATACTGCAGAAAAAGGAGTTTTTATTCAGCATTTTGTGTGCTAGCTGAGTGTCARTGGTCTGGAGGGCACTGTGAAGAGCTCTGGGAGCTCATGCCCCAAAACRCTCCTGGCACCGTGAAGGCTGGGAGTGCTCAGCCCCACCTTGACCGGGGAGCCTGCACGGGGACTGTGGGGACCCGGGTGGGATAGTGTGGCAAGGCCGGGGCCAGGGTGTTTATGTCCCAGCTTTGCTAGCTCAGCCCAGCTGCTGAACAGATGTGCTCAGGCATTGGGGACAGAGGGAAAATGTGTGAAATGGAAATTACGGTGTGTGAAAAATCCTGAGTTCTTTTTTTTTTTTTTTTTTTTTTTCTGTAGAAGAATGGTGCTACTTTTGCCTTTTTAGTTGTCAGCAGCAGAGACATCCTAGTTTAGGCGGGGATCTAAGCAGGGATCTAGAGGGAGCTCGGTACCATAGCCCCTCCAGATGTGGGGTGCTGTGAAAATGGGGGCACTTATCTGTGGGGAAAAAAAGTGAGTTTCTGCTCGACAGCAACAAGTGAAAATTTGTAGTTTGGAAGCTCCTGAGAGTATTTTTAAATGTTGACAGAAGTGGTCGGGTTTTACATGATCAGGCCAATAAGATTCTGAGATTGCTTCTATTCCTCTGGATTAGTGAGGCTTGAAGCTGCTTTATCCTAAACATCAACTGCCAGCTCCACAGAGCTGGACTTGGTGTGCAGCTAGGGGCATGATAGGCCTCTGTGAAAACTCCCCATATGGAAAGGGAGAGAAAAGCTCTCACCAGCCACTCGGACCTTTTTGTCCCGGTGATCTTTATTTTGTGCTTAGAGAGGGCAAAAATCTCCTTGTTGTTATGCCTTCCACGTGCTGTGAGGAAACCTTCTTGTCATCACACGTGAGGATCCCTGTAGGGGTTTCCTATCCTTGGCATCTCCTGCTTCCTCACCCTACCTAGGCTAGGTAGGAGGCTTTATAGCTACCTGCCCAGTCACTTTTGTGCTCACATCTCCTTATTTTAAAGAAGTTACATGTCACTATTTGTGCCCTTTGGGTTTTGCTGCCTATGCCCTTTCCTGGATGAAAAGCCAGGATACTGAGGRTAAGTTGAGCAGTATTGCTCATTTTAGAATAACATTTCCATTAATGATCTCCTTTAATCATCTCCTGCAGATGCCTAATAACAGTAAGAGGAGCAGTGCTTGGACACTGAGGTACTTACAGGATTGCAATCAAATGAATATTGATTTTATTCTGCTTTAAATTCCTGGTGGGTAGGAAGGAAGGGTGGTGGGTTCTCTGCGACCTAGAGCTGACAGTGTAAAAACCCAGTCTGAAATGGCCCGAATCAGCAGGAGGGCTTCTCGCCATCAACTTGGGTTGGAGGCAGATGTTTGAGGCTGGGACCTGCAAAGAGCTGCACCACGTGCTCATGTCTTACTGACCCCAAACAGTCGGAGCAGGTACTGGACCTTGATGCTGAAACAGCGGTTTTGGTTTTCTGTGCTTGTTTCCACATGCTGTAAAACTGGAAGAATACCCATCTTTCGCTAGCAGATATCAACATCTGGAAAAGTCTGTTGGTGTACTTTGATTATTTATTAGAATAGTCCTAAATGAAACTTTTGATTGCATCCTTACTTCAAATGGGACTGTATTTAAATACAATCCAAGCATCTGGACAGAAATAACTCAAAACTGATTCATTCTTGGATTCATCATTGCAAAACGACAGGACGTTAAGTGGCAGATTGGTTGGATAAGGGAAGAAGACACCATAAAACATTTAGTGTATTTCTGAATACTCATGGATTCTTTTCTAGAACACGTAAGCAGCAATGAACAATTCAAGCAAAGTTTGGCTCTGTTTTTGTTCTTCAGTTCTTTGAAGCCTGTACTAATTATTCTTCGCCTATTTTAATAATACCAATATTACAAGGAAAGCAGAGAAAGTGATGCCTTGTGTCTGTGAGTGTAGAAGTAACTCTTGTTTTGCGACATGTTTTCACAGTGTTCATACATCCCTCCCTGTGCAAGAGATGATCAGGAGAACTCTGAGAATGTCACATACAAGCAGAAATACTGGAAAGAAAAAGTGGGTTCACAGCCATTTACATGCTATTTTAACCAGCACTTAAGGTAAGTAATCACCTACATTTGCATGGATTGAAGTATTTATACATCTTTTTAACAGCTGTCCATTGGTTCTATTTGAAGCATGTATATGTAGCTATATATATATATAGGCAAATACATAGTGATAATACTTATTTTCTTTAGATAAGTATTTTCTTGAGACAGTTCTGACTACTGACAAACAACATCACAAAGAGTGAAAAGGCATCTTTATCCCTTGAAGAAAAAATATAAATCTTCAGAGAAATTCTGCTTAAAACATTTTATTCTATGGGATATTTTTTTTTTTTTTTTTAAAGCGCTCAGGTGGCAATTTCCTGACTTAGGTATTAATGTTCATTTCCCCAGGAGGAAAGAAATCCTGCTGTGTTCATAAGGAGCTGGAGGCAAAGAGAGACCAATAAATGGTGCAAACTTACTCAGGAGTTATATTCATAGAGGATTAATGAATCGGATATGATTACTGAACACTTTTAGAATTACCACCTTTTATTCATACTTTCAGAATGGAAAGTTGTAGTTTAAAGCACTTGGCTTCTGTATTGACTCTTTTACTACTGCTTACAATGTGACTTGCGTACRCAGTGAGGGATTTGTGTGTTTTTCTTCCCTGTGTAAGTGGGAAGAGGAGGGATTTCTCCGCTCTCGCTTGTCTCTCTTCCTGACAGTGGTGTACTGGGAAATGAGGATGACGTGGTGGCTACGGCTTAGTGGCTGGAGGGTGTTCAGGAAATGTGTGTGCTCCGTGCCGCCTGGCAGGTGGAAGTACCTGGGATCTCCAGATTCCAGATCAGCCAAGATTTTAAGGGATTTAGACACCAAATCTGCAAACGTGTGACACGTGCTTAAGCTGATCAGCCTGAGTAATTCTGTTAGAGCCAAGGAGGCTCTTCTGGGTAGCAAAGTTGAGCACTTACATAAATGTCTGCAGTACCCAGCCCTAAGGGAAGCAGGGAGTCTTATCCTGCCAGAACTTAGAAGTTGTACAGATGAGGGAGGTTCAGTGGAGATTACACAGGCCTTGTTGGTCTAATCCAGGGCTTTATTTGGGAGAGTTGGCATCAGATATTTGACTTTATTAGGGATTGCAGGGAGGAAGTGAGGAGCTGGGGCAGGATTGAAGTGACATTTTACAACGACTGAGGGGAAATAGGAGCATTTTATCTTATGCCAATATAAATGCCTACTACAGGTTAGGTGAAATGTGCCCTGAAGAGTCTAGTTTCTGCATGGACTATCAAATCCAGTGAGAGCTGAGGGTGATGTGCACAGGACTGGCAGCGCCCTGGCAGGGAAGCCAAGCTGGCTGAGGTGACTCTCACATCACATCCGTGAGTGAAGTGGGGACAAACTCACGGCAAGGTCAGGCACGGCCCAGCGCCACCGGGGCTAATTCAGAGGAACTGTGCAGCACTCCAGCATGGTATTTTTCCTTTAGCATTGCTGTATCCCATAGTGTTAAATTTTATTGCCAAACATTAAGGCAGCCTTAAAACACTTTGCCTTTTGCCTTTTGCAGAGCAATTTATATACAGCAGAAGCAAGGCTCACTGCCAAAGGTGCTTGAAGATAGTCTAAGCTAAAATGTATATGCCATCTATTTCCTTCTGCAGAGAGGAATGAGTGTTGAAATGTAAGCCTTGCTGACTGGGAATGTGCTTGCTTAGGTACCCTTTTACAGCTCTGATAGTTACACAGCCTGTCAAGCAGGAAGAAACATGAACTGAGGGGAAAAATCTGCTGACTTCAAAATGGAAGGGTGCACATTTTCTGTCAATACTTTCTAGACTGTGGGGAAGAATTAACTGTTCTATATAAGTCTGTATAAAGCAGTATACAGACTGTAGTGGTAGCCTCCTTGAAAAGTGCAGTTTTTGCAATATTATCTCTTGAAATAGTAGAATAGAATCCTAGGCAAGTGTCTGTGCAATGAATGAACATCTTAAATCAGTAATTCTGAGAGCACTACTAATCTATGAGAGTTCACAGTTATGGATCGCTTCTGTTTGGTTTGGTGGGACTCACTGCAATAGTCTTGTTTGAAAAGAAGAAGAAAAGGCAACACAGTGTGCACACTGCCAGCATGTATCATAGGGAACCAAAGCACAACATAACCTGGAGAAAGAGAGAACAAATGAAAGCTGAGGGTTTGGCCTGCCACTGCAGGCACTTCAGTGTCCCACTTTTCCCTGGTGAGCTGTGGGTCAAGCACTGCAAGCTGCTTTTCTGGTTGTGGAGCCTGTTGGCATCATGATGCCCAGCAGAGCACAGCATTCACTGACTCAAGAGTAGAAAATACATGACAAATTAAGAAAATGTTCTTGAGCTGTTGCCAATGTTTTGGCAAGGTGCCAAGCTCTAGTGCTTTAGGGTTTGAGGATCTCGTGTTGAGTGTATTCAAGGGGGCCTCATGTTCCCAGAAGTTGGGATTTAGGTGTGTTACAGGCTTCTCTCTGGGAGAACTCCAGAGAGCCAGAGGACCTTAGGTCAGTCGTCAAGGCCTCATGTGAACAAGGGTCACGCCTGGGTGTCACGCCTGGGAGAGGGAGGCCTGAGGGGACAGGCCAGGTGGAGGACACGCTGCCACTTTTTCTTCGAGTTAAAGGTCTCATTGACAGAAGCAGCAACAAAAGAGAAAGACACAAAGAGCTCCTGTGCCTCAGTCCTCCACCTCATTCCTGCCTTTCTGCACAGACACGCAAGGGGACCCACGTCAGCCCTTGCCTTCTTCATGCCTCCTTTACGGCACCGTTTCGTGTTTTCACCCTGTGCCCACCCAGCATGGTGCCCTAGTAGCAAGGCCAGCAATCCTGGTTGGCTTTGCTACTTTAGTAACTTTTCCAAATTATTTCCCTCTGCTAAGATGATTGTTTTATTTCTTAACCTTCCTTTTGCTGCATCACCTGTGGGGCTGCACTCAGGCCAGGGAACAAAAGGATATTGTTGCTAGTAAGGAACAGCAGAGATGTAACGCTATACACATACACTGTAAGTGTATACAGATTGCAGATACTTTTAAATCCAGCTCGCTTTGAATACAAAGAAATACTTGTAAGATGCATCTCCCCCCTCCATGCTCTCCCCCCGCCTCTTTGGGCTTCCATCGCCGACATAAATGGCACAGGGAGGGATAAGGAAAAGAGAACTGAAATGCTCCTGTGCCTTCACCTTCTCTACTGCTGCGACTCCGTGGTGGCCTCCGCAGGGCGGTTCTTCCCACTCCGCTCCGGAGTTTCTCCAGAGCGTCTGCGGGAGACCTGCTTGGGAGCACGCAGCCGTCACGCCTTGTGTAACACGGGGGTAATCCCGTTAGCCCTGGTCAGAGCCCCGGCAGGTCACCACCCTGGCCTCAGAGTCCTGCTAAAAATACACAGGACTTTCCACCTTTCAGAAATGAAGCAGAATTCTGCCCCTCGTTGCCTGCTCGGTAACAGGGAAGGAAGAGTCTGTGCGTGGCCGCTGCCTTCGCTGCACCAACCAGAGCTGTGTTTCCCTTCTCTGTTCCTGTGGAAGCACAGCCCTCTCTCTTTTTGCTCTCTGCTACATATGTTTTCACATATTTTTTTCTCTCCCCCTCCTGCCACCATCCTCTTGTTCCCTCTGCCCGCTTCTGTTGCTGCCTCTGGTGCTCCTGCCTTCCCTCAGCACCTCTGTGGTTCCTCTCCACCTTTCTGCTCGCCTTGTTTCAGCTGCTGATGAAAGTAATGGAATTAGAGGTGGAATTTCTCAGTGATTTCTCAGTGGTTTCATGTAGTGTTTTCTGCCTTGCTGAACTCTGTGTAGCTTTCCTTGGTGCTTGCATTATTTTCCAGACATCGGGGGTTTCTGTTTTCTGCGCGGTGATAATCACTGAAGGGCTGTTCTCCTGAAGGCCCAGCAGCATATGGGATTTGTGAACTTCTGGTGGCCTCCTTTGTGACCCCAGGACACCCATAGCACAGCCTGGGAGCCTCTCCTGGAATCCTGGCTCCGTGTCCTCTTGTGTCACAGCTCTGCAGTGATGCCCAYGCTCAGAAGTAACTGTGTGGGGACACCAAAGTGTCATGGGTCCCAGCAGTGAGTTTGCTTTCCCCCATCGGTGCTTGTTGAGACGAGTGCCTTGGTGTCTATGCTGCTGATTCCCAAATGGGCATCAGACATAGTTCTCTGAGCTAATGCAGCTTCATTTCCTGCTGCGTGTGCCTTGGGGCAAAAGCCAAAGATTTTTCACGCCGGAATACCAGAACTGTTTCAATGCAGCCTGAACCCAAAGCTGGGCTGGTGCAGAGCTCCTTTTGACCAGCAAATGGTTAGTGCTGCTAATYCTGCAGTGAGCAGCTCTGGCTCCTGGGCTGCAGCCCGTGAACTGGGAGAGGACAGTTGAGTCCTGCCGAGTCCTCTGGATATCTTTTACAGGCAGATTTTATTTCATATCCTTTTTTTTTTTTTTTTCTGTCTCTTTTTTTTCCAGGATATCTTGTAAGATATCTGGAGTTTGTCTCCAAACATTTGGCATTTGTTTATTTTTTTTATATATTTCCAAATTTCCATAGACAGCTACTTTGTCACAAGCAGTGAGGATACCTAACAGATTCCTTCAGAGACTGCCATGCTTGTGGTGAGGTTTCTTCTCTGCATGATGATTCATTTCTTCAAGGGGTAGAGAATAGTTCCTGCAGTCACACGGAGGAGCCASGAGAACAGGCAGCCTGGAAGAAGGGCAGTCTGACCTCTGTAGACTAACCTGCTAATTAATCACTAATGACTTTTCTATTATTTAATTCATCTGGTTAATTCTGATCTAAACACCTCTCCCTCTTGATATCCTTTCTCCCCACTCTGCTTTTTGGACCTTGCTGATCTTGCGTGAAATACTTACTGTTTTGTTTAGCACAAAGTGTCACAGCTGCAAAGAGATGCCAACATGATCATTCTTCAGGTCTGTACCAGGAGGCCTCCTTGCCCTTCACTCACACTGTGCTCACTGTGGTCCTGGCTGCTGGGCTGAGGGTATCACCTAATCTGTGTGAAAACCAGACGGTGAGTCCAGCTGCCTTGCGGAGAGGCCGCAGTGGTTGGGGGCTGRGATGATCCCCAGCTTTGCCCTGCGCTGCCCGGGGAGCTGCGCAGCTCCCTGCGCTCCAGCCTCTCCGTRGCAGAGGCGGCTTCGTCCCTGCAGCCGCTCCTCACGGCTCCGCATCCAGCTCGCACGCGCAGAGCAACGTGCCGAGTGCYGGGGCTCTTCGGGGTGTTGTTCTAGTTTCTCTGCCTGGCTGTTCCACCTTAACGCTCCCCCCCATCCTTTCTTCATGTTTTCCCCAACTCTCTGTTCTCCCTGGTGGCGCAGAGCATTTCCGAGCAGTGCACCGTGGCGCCGCATGGACCCTGAGCGCCACGCAGGGAGCAGGAGGGATTCTCCATCCCCGCCCTAGCAGCTGCTATTTCCTGTTGTTTGCAATCTCAGCACCCAAGAGCAGACGTAAAAGGAGTTATCTTGAAGGGAAAATAGTAAACAGGTTTTCTTTTTTTTCATCTTCCCCTCTTTAAGCACTTCCCTGTTGCAAAAGCTGCATCTCAGGGGGGCCCTGTGTTGCCTTAAGCTGTTTTCCAGAGCCCTCTCCGTAAGCGCCGGCTGCCTCTGTGATGGATSGGCTGCCAAGGGCTCCTTCACCCGCGGCTGCGGCCACGGCACTGCCTCCGAGTGGCCAGGGAGATAATGGGGTTGTTGCCCTCCCGGAGCGGCTGATTCGTCTCCGGGAACGCTGTCAGGAGCGCAGCAGGAGCACCCTCCATCCTTGCATTCGCCTTCCCAAATGTGGCACCAGCAGTTMCTCAGTACATGCAGTTTTGGGGGACCCCAGCATGACCTTGGCACTCGCTGCGAGCCCAGGGCCAAAGCCAGCAGCAAATTGTTGCCTTCCCTTCTGCCTCACGTGCACTGCATGGAACAGGGGGCTGCAGCTAACAGCGCACACCCAACGAGAGCACTCATCCTGGGGCTCCACTGAGGCTCCTTGTAAGTCCATGACCCTTTGCCAAGAAGGAAACTCTTTTAAATTACCAAGTTCCAGGAGGTAAATTCCTACCTACAATGAGTGTTCATAATTAATTGCTACTGTGGTTGGCACAGATGTTTTCTAATCGTGCTTTTTTTTTTTTTTTCTCTAATTAAATCTAATTTTCTAGCTTGTTAGCATTCAATCCTCCCAGCTCTAAACTTAACAAATACTTAAACTAAACTTCTCTTGTGAGTGGGTACTAATCAAAGAGTACAAAAATAAGGGGAAAGCACGTCAGTGGTCTCACTGCCAGGGAGCTCGCTGTTATTCACGGATTGTGATACAGTGAATACAGGGAAAGCAGTATTATTCCTCTTGGAAAAGTGTCCTCTCTTTGCATGCTACTATTGCCATAGTCCAATAATGGCCATATGTGTGCCATAAACTGGTGAGTCTGTGCACCTAAAGTTAATATAATTTTATTCAATTTATGGTCTCCACATGTACCTGATTTTGGTTTGGAGGATCTCGAATGAGCAGACTTCACATGTCCTGCTCTTGTATGCACCTGGGTTTCTTTTGGTTGATTTTTGTATTACCAAACCGCAACTTTGCTTGGGAGTGGCTCAGCAAGGTAAGAGTCTTGCTCTGTTTGTCACTGTGTGGCTAAGGAGAGAAGCACATCTGCACATTTACTTTCCCTTCGTGGATTTCCCGGCAGAGGAAAAGGGTTTCCACCTGTTGCCCTGACAGGGAGTGTTTTCACAGGGCTGCTTTCGGAGCAGCACAAGGCGCTCATGGCCCAAGGGCTGCACTCCTGTGTGTGAACCTGCTCCCACAGGCGCCCTCTTAGAATTAGGAGCTGAATTCCCAGGATGAATGGCTGCGAAGCCCACTGTGCTGAGGGGCATCGGGMTGCCCGGGCAAAGCCACGTGAGACTGGAATGATCAGTCCCGGAATGCTGGCACGGGTCTGGACGATGCCCTTTTCCTAGCTTGAGAAGTTCTAGGTCCTTCCTTTACWGATGGTTTTTCAGCAAACTACGTCTCTGGCTCTAGATGAGGAGAAAAGTGCAAGTGCCACGAGACTGATTTAATAACTCCATTAAACTGCAGGGAAATCAGAAAAAGCCAGACAGGAGGAGAATTTGCCATCAGATTTCCAGACCAGCCTTGCAGACTTGGAAGAGGCAGATGGACAACAGATCTTTCAGACGTTTTGGGCCGGCTGAATTTCCAAGTCTCCCGGGATTCCTCCCCTGCCTTGCTGCTCTCCCGCACCCTCCTGCCATTCCCTTGGGGAGCCTGAGGGGCAGTTTCCCCAACCATCGGATCAGATACGTAGAGAGCTCAGAAATGCAAGGAAAGGGCTGGCTCCTTGCCCAGATCCAGGCTGCAGCCAAGGCTCTCGGTAGGACGCTCCGCGTGCCCCATGGCTGAATCAAAGCTCCTAGTTCAAAGGGAAGACCTGGTTGCCCTTAAATTCATTGTGCAGTTTCTGGTGCCATTTGAGGCAGATAAGTGTAATTGCCCCCTAACAGGTTTTCATTTGAGTGATTTTTCAATCCACAGCCTGTTCCTGTATCTCTCACTGCTGCGTGTGATTACTGTGACCCCAAGAAGACCCAAAGTATTAATTCCTCTTCTTTTTTTTTTTTTTTCAAAATGAATGAACTTTAGTCTATAAACGCTTCAAACACAATGCCCTGGTGGTCTGCCATGACAGCTGCTGATAGATAGGCAAACAAATGCCACGAATGAAAGAGAGCAGCCCATGTAATCATTTTCTAACACTGCTGCAAATAAGATGTCTGTATTGTCTTCGTGGCAGCTGATGAGTTGATAATGCCGAGGTGTTCTCTTCAGCTTTATTTTCCTTTYCCCTCTGCTCTTGCCCGCCTTTGCAGGCCGGACGACGTGATGCTGAAGCGCACGCACGACGAGGCCGTGCTCCTGCACTGCTTCCTGTGGCCCCTCGTCACGCTCCTGGTCGGCGTCCTCATCGTGCTGCTCACCATCTGCGCCAAGAGCCTGGCCGTGAAGGCCGAGGCGCTCCAGAGGAGGAAACACGCGTGAGCGGGACAGGGGAGCCGGGCAGGCGCCGCCGCGAGGCGGCMAACGGGGGCGCTCGGCGCGGCCGCCCGCCCCTCGGCTGCCCACGGATGTGGGGAGCACACGCACGTGTGCGGGGGCCGCATCCGAGCGAGGCGCCGCCGCCGGAGATCCCTCCTGGGCGCCCGCCCCAGGGAATGCCGCCCACTTGCTGCTTCTGCCATGACGGAAAATCGATGCGCTCCACCAAAAGAAGCTGCACGTACCAAATACGCGGGACTCTTCCCAGGCTTCAGCCGCAGCCACCCGGGCCGCAGCCGCAGTGAGAGACAGTTCTGGAAAACCCTCAATGTGATTAAGTTTTCTCTGCAAAGCAATCTTTACTATTGTTTAAYATTAACTATTTAAAATATTAACTTTATGATAGACTGTGTTTCCAACGCCATGAAACTTGGTGGTTTTGTTTTCTACCTTTGTTTTGTTTAAAAAAAAAAAGCTTTAAGACAAAAATAACACTGTGCTCATTGTTTTTTTTTTTTCACTGTAGAACTTCACTTTAAAATTCAAACTTCTGTCTAGACAAAATCCGTCATCATCAGCTGCTCACTGTGAAGAAATGTAACAGTCTGTTAGAAATACGCTCTCAAAACCCCAAACTTAGCATTTATTGGAAGGAGTGATTAAATCCTGGATCTAATTCCATTGCCTCAGTGGTATTCAGTCCCTGCAGTTTCTCTTGTACCCTCTCCATCACCCTCTTTGCCAAACGCTGACTTTAAGGAGCCAGAGATTTCATTTGAAGTGTTTTCCAAGTGAGTTTTCCCAGGGATTTGCTCCACGTTGAGGCGGGTTGTTTCACGCGCTCGCTTAGAGAAGCCTGCGGACCTTGGTGGCCCTTTGCGTGCCTAACCTGGAGGGTTTAAGACAGAGGAAGGGGAGACACGTGCGCGTGGTGCAGCCGTGGGTGGCCCCGCGCCCGTCCCTGCGAGGCGACGCTCCCGAGCGCCTTGGSCGGCCCCTTCCCAGCCTTTAGCTGCTCCCCGGGGAGATGCTGGTCCCGGGCGGGCCACTCAAGAGGGGCGGCCACATGCTGCTCCGTGGGGCCCGTGGGCACCCAAGGAGAAAGGCCGTGTGGGTCGACAGGGAAAACGAGTCACTCAGCCTGACATTAGCGTGACAAGCTCCTTAACCTGCATTAACAATTCTGCAGTTCCAGGCATACTGTTCACAGCGTTGATCTCCTGTGATCTCATTCTTTGTGTCGTTTGATACGTGTTCTGCTTCCCTGCCTTTCTGGCACAACAGGAAGGCGCTTCCCGAAGACCAGCGAGGATTTGGAAGCCTCTGACCCTTGGGRTTTGCACGGTCCTGTGTGTGTCTCAGACACACCGTATTAGACACGTAAGAAGTGGTTTCCATCAGGCTTTGTGTTCTGTGAGCTTGTCTGCCCTGGAGATGCAGGTGACTAGAAGGCTTCACTCCTGAGCTTACCCTGTGCGTGACGTTTGGAGAGTAGTCTGGTCCTCATGTGCACAGGTGCCGGTTATCCTGGAGGAAGTTAAGGAAATCTTACAGAGCCGGGAACTTGGTGCTTATGGTTCAGTGGAAGCTCCGATTAATATTCGTTACACCTGGTTCCACTTCTGTGGGTGAAAAATGCTAGTTGTATGGAAAAACCCTGCTTAAAGGATCACACGTTCATTCCAAGATCGGAATTGTCCAGCACGCACAGGTACTGCCTGTCTCGGCCTGTGGCAAGGAAAACCATTAAATACAATGCGGGCTGAGGAGAGGTGGGAGCTTCCCTGCTGCCTGGAAGCGTTTTGGCAACGCTGTCCTGATGGGCGTGCGAAGGACACCGGCTTTCACTTGGCTCTTGTCTCGCGGCCGTGACCTCACTTGCATCCTGCAGCCCACTGGAACATCCCACACAGGGCTGCACCTCTGAGGAGTTTTCTGTTTTCTTTTTTTTTTCTTTTTTCCTTTTTCCTTTTTCCTTTTTCTTTTTTCTTTTTTCTTTTTTCTTTTTTCTTTTTTCTTTTTTCTTTTTTCTTTTTTCTTTTTTTTCTTTTTTCTTTTTTTTCTTTAATTTTCTTTTTTCTTTTTTTTTTTCCTTTTTTTCTTCCTTTAACTTTCCCTCTCTGCAAACCCCACTGAACTGCCACTGTGGGGCAGTTGTTGCCGGAGTGGGATGGAGGTCTGTGCACCTCGTCCCCTTCCCACCCAGGGCATTGCAGGGGGTGAATAGCCACCTTCTCCCACATCCACCTGTCCTGTGTTTCTCCAAAGGAGAGGGAAAAAGGCAACGACACAGATTCATCCAGATTTTTAATCCAGTTGCTCGCTGCTCGCAAATCCAGATTAACAAAATCCTCTCTGCCTTTGCCCTGGGAGCTTTTGTGCCTGAATTGTGTGGCYGATTCACAGAGGGAAAAGGCAAGAAGTGAAGGGAGTCCTCGTGGCGCCTGGACGGGACGCGGTGTTTGCCAGTCTGCAGGATCTGCTCCCCACAAGGGCCTCGGGCAGCAAGACACAGCGACGAGGAGCGCATTGAATCCTCCTGCAGGGTTCAGCATCGTGACCTACCCGGCTACACTGCCCTGCAAAGGCAGAGGGCTTCTCTCCCCCGCACACCAGTGTGTGACACCRAGGGAAAAAATCCCCCAATTCATTCTTCCAGCACAGCTTATACTTAGTTGGTTTAAAAATGTCTTTCTAATCCCTGTGCTTCATAGAAGCCGGGATTTCCTTCTAGCAGATTATTCATTGATTTCCCCGTCGGATTTGTGCGTTTTCCGGTTTTTGCTGAGTGTTCTCTGAAACGTATTGCCAGCCAAAGCGGCTGCTTTTTCGGTCAGTGCCATCTGCGGGGCTGACTCCCGAGGGCTGCTCGGGGTTTAGGCAGCGCCGCCGCCGCCGCCGCTCACACACGTGGCCCCGCTGAACGCCTTTGCCCGTGCACTATCCTCACCTGCTGCCCTGCAAACTTGGGGCACAGCATCCCTGGCACCTTTCCTGCTTCCCAATAGGGGCCAAAACACCCATGTAGATTAGAAAATATAACTACCACCTTAGGAATTTATTTCAATGCCAGGTGGGAGTTTTGCCCTGGAAGGAGAGGGCGCTCCCTTCATGTCCATCATAATTTTCACCCCAGCAGCATCACTCTACCTGGCCCCTTGTCCCACTCCATTCCCTTGGCTTAAGTTCAAAAATGTCCTTGATCAAAATAAAACAAGAAAGATCATTCACCTTAAAGGGATAAAGTAACCCTTAAAGCAACCATGCAGGCTGCTAAGGGTGTAGGTCTTAAAAACTGAAATTAAGAAGTGCCTTTGATATCTTTGTGCCTTCAAAGGTGCTGCGCCCGCAGCTCGGCTTGGCGCTGCTGGAACAGGCTCTTGCTGCTGAGGCTCTGCAAAGGTGAGTCTGGTGCTGCACGTGTTTTAAAGGCAGGACGAAAGAAGCTCAGCAGGATTCCTAATTTCAAAGCTCATTGTGTCACGCACTCTTGAGTCAGTCCCCGAAAATGCTCTTGGTGTCTCCTGAGAAGCAGAGCCGCTTGCTCCTCAGCACGCAGCAGCTGCTATTTCCCCACTGCATTTCCATCAGGAGCAACCCCCTTTCCCTCTCCCACGTCTTTAGAGGTTACTACAACGATACGCCTCACTAACAACCTTTGCTGCAGAACGGCAGCAAAGCAAGAGAGGGAAAACCTCAGCGGTTTTCCATGGGGGCCATTAATCACTCTGCCTGGCAGGCTCACAGACCCACCGCATGAGTCAGGCCCAAAGTTGCAGTCGCAGAAGCTGTGCCACTTTYGTTGTGGTTTGCTAGGCTAGCACTAAGGTGGTAATTACTTGCACTGTGCTTAATTCACAGCTCTTTCATGCACTGGTGGCTTTAAAGCTCACATGCCAAGAAATTGCTTTGCATGCATTGAATGCATGGCTGGAGATGCAATATGAAGAAAAATAGAGCTGCCCATTAAATTATATACCTGCAATTTGAATGTACAATTTTATTATAGATTATGTTTACATAGCTGTAAAATTGCATACTTAGCTACAATACATAAACAACTTCAGCAATCGACTTGATATAACTTTCCAAGAAATGCTGTGAAAAATGTCTGAGTCATCTTGGGTACCGTGTTAAAAAAAAGGTCTGCCTGAAGTTAATGAGTTCCAGCAGTGCCAAACATAACGTGAGATTTTTCATGATTTTGGAGGCTAACTTAAGGTTTATCCCTTTGTTCACTGACATGTGAGCAAGCTGCAAAGTCTGTGTCTTTGCATGGAGCACATGAACGGGTGCTGGGGGGTGCAGAGACCGTGTCCAGGCTCTACGCGCTGTGTGGCCGGGGCCCCTGGGCTCTCAGGAATCCAAAAGCCAAGTTCTCATTCCTAACATTAGTCCTCTGGAAAAGAACGGGCTGAACACAGTTCAAAATTAACCATTAAATTGTCCAACAACCTCTTAATAAGCAGGGGAAGACTAGTTTGGAAGGACTGAATATACAACGGTCAATAAAGCTACATGATGGGCAGTCCTGATCCTAACATACCTTTTTCCCCTGAAAAAATATGAAAAAAAATTCTGATAGCAAAAAAAAATATAATAAAAATGTGTTTGCGGCATTAATCGGATGCCCTTGCTTTCAATGGACTAATTTTCAATCCTTATGGAAAATACATAGCATATGTGATGAACCTCTGAGTATCCAGGCAAGTGAATCCCAAATAGCAAATGCTTTGGGTTTATTAAAAGCAAATAGTGTCCAATGAGCTTCAGTGCTTTTTTACAGTCAAACTGGAGATTAATGGAAGCTTACGTGAAGCAATACACTGTAATGAGCATTTTATACAGTGCCTCGGGATCTTATTTGAAGAATTAATTTATCTCCGGCTGGCTACAAGCTGAGGGAGATTGAAAAGGGGCTGCGGAGCTGTCAGCACAAAGCAATAATGTGCAGGTGTGGGGTGAGGTGCTGCCCTGGGGTTATTCATGATGTGAAAAGGCAAGGTAAAGGGCAAA